CCTTACGAATTTCGTCCCATAGAAGTTTACTGCACTCCCTATCAAGATTGGGGCCCTGTAAATCACACCCAAAATTAGTTTTTCTCGGCCTCGAGAAGCTGTAACCAAACAGATTCAGTGGCTGACGCTTCTAATTTAATATCTTGTCTAACACAACAATTTAAATTGTCTCTGACATACATCGCTACTCCACCACCTTCCTGTTGACCCTGTCAGTGTGGAATAATTTATAGCCTTGTATGTGACATTCAGAGGGGCATCTCTCTATCTTTCAGATTGAGCCAGGTCCTCTGTTATAGCAATAATATCTATGTTTCCTGCACTTGCAATTAAATCTTAGCTCATCTATCTTATTTCTAACACTCCTGCTATTAGTATAGTAAACCTTAAGGGAGCTAGTCCCTTGCTGCCCTCTGCTGTCCCCCTTTGTTTGCTGACCTGTTCTATTGTCTTTATTTATAACTTCATGCTGAATGCCTTTTATACATTTACTGTTTCCAACCCTAGTGTTGCAACCTGCTTGTTTCCCACACACAACCCATACCTCTATCTTCCATCAGTTTAAAATCATAGGCATTTCACCAATGGCCTTCTCAATCGAGTCTGCAAGTGCTACCACCCCTGCCCCAGAGAGATGTACCCCATCCCTTGCATACATATCATGTTTGCCATAAAAGTTGTTCCAGTTGTCAATGAATGGGATTGCAAGTTCCTTGCATATCTGTCTAGCCAGCAATTTACAACCAATTGCCCTAGACAACCATTCATTTCCTACTCCCCTTCTAGGCAAGATGCTACATATGATTGGGATCCCTCCCTTAGACTTAATGAAATCTATAGCTGACCTGTACTTATCTAGCAGCTCTTCTCTCTACCCTTCCAATATCATTTCCACCAGCACTGAGACAGATAATGGGCTTGTTCCCATTACCTGACATGATATTATCCAGCCTGTTGACAATGTCCCCAACACCAGCTCCAGGAAGCACACTCTATCTCTCATCTTCTTATTCCTATTACAAAAAAGCACGGTCAACATATCTTACCTGAGAGTCCACCAACCACAAGAATGCGCTTACCTTCATTAGCAGGGCAGTAGTACCCTTACCTTCACTGGCCACTGAAGTACATTCATCCTGGAGAACAAGAAGCGATTTCCTACCTTCAGATCTTCACTCTTAACTTTCCTTACTCTGATGCGCCTCCCATTACTGTGAACAACTCGCCACTTGTAGCAGGTGCTGGCTGCACCTCACTGCTGGTAGCCGTTGCTACCTCCCCACCTACAGCCTCCTCACAGTGAGAGACAGACTGCACCTCACTGCTAGAAGCCTCTTTCCCCACATCTCCAACCACCTCACACTCTCTCCCAGGCCCATTGAGGTGGACCTTCAGCCTCCTAATCTCCTTCTGGAGAAGCAAGACCTCCTCCTTCAACTCTCCAACCTCAGTTTTTTAAAACACTGCAGAAGCAAGCCATGCTTTGTAACCGTCCACGCTAATCCCCATAATATATATATATATATATATAATATATATATATATATATAATATATAAAAATATATATATATATATATATATATATATATATATATATAGACAAGACATGGGGGTGAGCTATGCAATGTTGAAAGGCATCAACTGAAGGAGAGGATTTCTCAGAGTAGCAGCACAGTGTGGGTCAGTTACTTGCTGAAGCTTCTCTCAGAATGTAGGTCAATGCTTGGTGCCAACACTGCACAACCACCATCTCCCTCTTCCCTGTATGGGGTAGTAGGGTTTTTGAGAGAAGCTGCGGCATGTGACAGGCCCTCACTGCGCTACTCTGAGAGAACTTCCCCTCCTTCAGTTGCAGCCTTGCTACATTGCATAGCTCCTGATGATGCACTGAGAAGTGTGAAAGTACTTGAGCTAAAGATTTCTACCCCCCATTGCTTGTCTTGCATAGTTAAAAGATCGCCTGTCTGCGATTATTTGCATTATGAATGCCACTTTCCAACTCTTCTCCTATTTCTCCCGCTTGTTTCCTTCCTTTAACCGGCCGGACTTTACCTTCTACTGTTACCTCCTACAAATGCTCACTCCTCACAGTCTACAAAGCTGCACTCAATTTAATTTTCTAAACAAGTGCCTAAGTGAACAGGTCCTACCGAAATCCCTACTGCAGAACAGGTTGGTCAGGCTAGCTACTATACCATTCGATTAACTACATAGTTTAGTGCCCATCAAAAATATTGACCTAGTAAGACATGAAAAGAGGATGATTTTCACAGAAATGAGGATAACCAAGACTGTATTCTATAATAAGATTTTCCCTGGCTGGTATGACTACTTGTTTGATTATATTTATAGGGAACACAGAAGAGTCAGGCAGAACACCAAACGCAATCATACTAGGAAGTTAAATAATCTCATAACACAGAGTAGTTGGACCATACATGCGGATCCAGAGTTTGTTATGAACCTCTCTAGCAAGGAATTAAGCAGTGATCAACAGGCAGCACTAGGGTTTGGATTAAGCTTTGCGCCCTCAACGAATGATGCTAATTACGTAAACTTAGCAAAATCGTTTTGCATGCTGGATAAACACGGTGACCTGACCCCTGATACATTTAATATATGCAAACGTTATATGGAACGTTACTCCAGCCGGTGCTTCCCAATTGCCTATTAAGATTGAAAAAACTTGCAAGCTCTCACAAGTAGTGATAAATCTAAGGTAGCTGTTATTTTGTTCAAAACTGAATATTTAGGGAAAATGAACCATTTATTGAGTGATAATGAGACGTATGAACCACTCATTAAAAACCTCACCTACCAGGTCAACAGCCATTTCAATAAACACGTTAAACGTTACTGAAGAAGAATGATGAATGAATTAAATATATATGGGGTATATGGGGTAATCAAGACCCATAAGCCAGAGTACCCAGCCCGTCCCGTTATTAGTTCAGTAGTCTCAGTAGCATATAACTTTCCTAAATGGCTGGTTAAACTTTTAACTCCCATGATCGGTAGGATCTCGGATGCACATATTAAAAATAATTTTGACCTTAATGAAAGACTCTAGAAATTTAAGGTCCCTCATGATTTTAGCTTAGTGAGCTTTGATATCACAGCTCTGTTCACCCATGTCCCTTGTCCCTGACTTGCTTCCGTACCTACAAGAGGAACTAGAAAAATTCCCTTTGCCCTTCCCCACGAAAATAATAATTGAATTGATAAAACTTTGTGTTAGTGATTGCAAGTTCGTATTTGAAGGGAAATACTATGCTCAAAAACAGGGCATGTCAATGAGAAATTCCCTTAGCCCCTTACTTAGCAACTTGTATATGGAATTCTAGACTTCTTGAAGACATTCTCCCAGATGAAGCTAGTTGGTTCACATACGTAGATGATGTTCTTTGCCTGTGGCCTAGAGATCACAACATTGATGAGCTCCTACCCAGACTCAGTGGTATAGTACCTTCCATTAAGTTCACTACAGAACATGAAACAAATAACACTTTGCTGTTCCTAGATGTTTTAATCCATCGTGTTGGTAGAAAATTTAGATTTACAGTTTATAGGAAGTCCACCAATGTGTCGTCATACATTCACTAGTATTCCAACCACGAAACTCGGGTAAAAAGGAGTGTGTTCCTCACAATGTTGTTGAGAACCTTGCGCAGCTGCAGTCCAGAGTACCTAGAGGACGAAATTAGCAAGGTATTCAACATGGCCACAAAACTGAGATATCCTAAGAATTTTGTCGAGAAGGCGCTACTAATGTCAGTATGAAAGACTTTCTAGATGACTGAACCTAAGGAAGTGATGGCCAAGAAAAATGTACTAGATTTACAATACAATAAGAACCTGGTTTGCCTACATGAGGCATTAAAAAAGTTCAATATAATCCTTGCTCTGAAAATCACAGGGACTGTGAAACAAAGGCAGATTAAAAACACACCCATAGCATATAAACATAGCATATAAACATGCTATGTTTATATACTATGGAGGTGTGGTTGTCTGGAGGAAGGAAAACATTACGTTTTCTCTTGTTCAGCACCAGAGAAAATGTGTATGAGTGTGTTTGTCCCAGTCACTCCCCTCCACACTCCCTCTTTGTTTATAATTCTCGGCATATATTTTTATCATTAATATTCCCTTCGTTTATGATGGCACTAAAGGTAGTTGTTAGAAACGATTAAACTCTGTGAACATGATAAGTGATGGTAATAAAATGGCTCTAGGCCGCATTAAAATATCCTATAATTATGTAGATAGATGTAGCCTAGGCGGCTACATCTAACGGCTACCTACAAACAAATACTACTCACCTCTCATTTTACAATAAGACTACACATATTTGAAGGTAAATAATGAGTGTACTGTGTATGTATTTTACGTTTTATTGTGTTTTTTAATGCCAAGTTCTATTACTAACTTTATATAAGTTAGTGTAAGCTAACTTATCAATGCATTTATAAGTAGAAAAAATGGCATTGAGATTTCCGGCAGTAGCCTGGAACCTTACCTGCTGTATAACATGTATATATATATTATATATATATATATATATATATATATATATATATATATATATATATATATATATATATATATATATATATATTATATATATATATTATATTATTGTGCCCACGAACAAGTGGTATTGATCAATAACAACACTGATTAGCCAAGGACTCAAACCCATGCTGCTTTGGCCTGCCTCATGGTGGGTGAAAACTCATGACGCCTTAATCCACGGGACCACACAATCCTTAAGAATACCTCATCGAGCGGAAATGGATTTTGTACTCGCTACCCAAGGTCACACGATGGTGTGGATGACTCTAGGCTAACTTCATTCTACTCCCTGTTTGGTGTACTAGTACAACGAGCAATATTTTATATTATTGTGCCCACGAATAAGTAGTTTTGATCAATAACAACACTGCGACTAGCCAAGCACTCGATATCACGTGGTTATATAAAACTCTCAGAATCTTACCAGTATTTGTCCACATGAATTGACTTGCTTTCCACTGGAGGTGCAGTGCGGGTATAAGCGTGGACAGTAGAATTGAAGGTTCTCAAATATTTTGCCACTGAAAAAAATAAGGAAAGGTAAATATATTTACTGCTTTTATGTGACATACATGTGAGAGGTAAACAAAGTCCGATGCTTCCTGAATGACTGCTGGATAAACCAGACTCTGACTACCAACTGACCTTATACTAAACATTATAATTTGACTTACAAGTTACATATTGTAATTTTTTTATTTCCCCCTTGAAGACCTTCATAATGTCTCTGTTCTTATTTCTTACCAAATTATATATATGGTAGCCAACACTTTTATTATTATTTTATTAACACATTAGGAGTTTCCCACCAAGGCAGGGAGACACGGAATAGAAGAAACACTTTCATCATCATACACTCCATCACTGTCTTGCCAGAGGTGTGCCTACACTACAGTTATAAAACTGAAACTTATCAATACCTCTCCTTCAGAGTGCAGGTACTGTACTTTCCACTTCCAGGACTCAAGTCCGGCTTCCTGGTTTCCCTGAATCCCTTCATAAATGTTTCTTACTCCAACGTAAAGTCATAAAAACCAATTGTCTGTACCTGCTCCTATCTAACACACTCACGCCGGCTTGCTGGATGTCCAAGCCCATCACAAACAAAGTCTCCTTTATACCCTTCTTTCAACCCTTCCTAGGCCACTACACTGTCTTCTTTCCACTACAGATTTATACACTCGCATTCTATTTTATTTCATCCTCTCTAAATGTCCAAACCACCTCAACAACCCCTCTGGATAATGACTCACGAAATAGTATTGACATGCTTAGAAATAAACCATACAACAGACTGGGATAGAACCCGCGGTCAGAGAGTCATGAAACTCCAGACCGACGCGTTAGCCACTGGACCAGCTGGCTACAATAAGATTCATTCAGTTAGGTATATTTATACACCATAGGAAGGTTAACATAGGCACCACTGTGACCACAAATGAATATTACTTTTAGTAACCCCGCACCTTCTGCTAATTTCCAAAGTATGGATTCTCTGTATTACAGTCACTCAACACATTGCCCTCAGACAACGTTTTCACTACCTCCAGCTTTCTCCTTGTTGCAACATCCACCACCCATGCTTTTCACTCATATAAGAGCGTTGGTATAACTATTCTCTCATACATTCTCCTCTGTTCTTCCATGTATAATGTTCTTTTTCTCCACAGATTCCCAAAAGCACCATTACCTTTTTCTCTCATCAATTCTATGATTCACCTGGTCTTTCATAGACCCATCTGCTGACAAGTCCACTCCCAAACATCCGAACACATTAACTTCTTCCATACTTCCGTACTCCCTCCTATTTGTTTACCAAGGAATTGGAATAAATGAATTTCTTGTTATTGAATGTTATTGAACTGAGTGATGATACATATTCTTTTCATAAATTTACAATGTAATATTTAGAAGCATAGAGTAATTATTTTAACTTAGTTCATTTTCAAACACTGACCTATCTAAGGTACACTATCGCTCCAGCATCTATTTACAGGAGCTCCTGGTAATGAGAACGTAAGAATAGAAGAACACTGTAGAAAGTCTACTTATATACTTATCCAATCTCTTTTTAAAGCTACACAAGGTTTTAGACTCTATCAACCTACTCGGAAGATTGTCACATGCAGCATTCTCCACCTGACCCAGCATTCTCCACCTGACCCAGCATTCTCCACCTGACCCAGCATTCTCCACCTGACCCAGCATTCTCCACCTGACCCAGCATTCTCCACCTGACCCAGCATTCTCCACCTGACCCAGCATTCTCCACCTGACCCAGCATTCTCCACCTGACCCAGCATTCTCCACCTGACCCAGCATTCTCCACCTGACCCAGCATTCTCCACCTGACCCAGCATTCTCCACCTGACCCAGCATTCTCCACCTGACCCAGCATTCTCCACCTGACCCAGCATTCTCCACCTGACCAGCATTCTCCACCTGACCCAGCATTCTCCACCTGACCCAGCATTCTCCACCTGACCCAGCATTCTCCACCTGACCAAGAATTCTCTACCTGACCCAGCATTCTCCACCTGACCCAGCATTCTCCACCTGACCCAGCAATCTCCACCTGACTCAGCATTCTCCACCTGACCCAGCATTCTCCACCTGACCCAGCATTCTCCACCTGACCCAGCATTCTCCACCTGACCCAGCATTCTCCACCTGACCCAGAATTCTCCACCTGACCCAGCATTCTTCACCTGACCCAGCATTATCCACCTGACCCAGAATTCTCCACCTGACCCAGCATTCTCCACCTGACCCAGCATTCTCCACCTGACCCAGAATTCTCCACCTGACCCAGCATTCTCCACCTGACCCAGAATTCTCCACCTGACCCAGCATTCTCCACCTGACCCAGCATTATCCACCTGACCCAGAATTCTCCACCTGACCCAGCATTCTCCACCTGACCCAGCATTCTCCACCTGACCCAGAATTCTCCACCTGACCCAGCATTCTCCACCTGACCCAGCATTCTCCACCTGACCCAGCATTCTCCACCTGACCCAGCATTCTCCACCTGACCCAGCATTCTTCACCTGACCCAGCATTCTCCACCTGACCCAGCATTCTCCACCTGACCCAGAATTCTCCACCTGACCCAGAATTCTCCACCTGACCCAGCATTCTTCACCTGACCCAGCATTCTCCACCTGACCCAGAATTCTCCACCTGACCCAGCATTCTCCACATGACCCAGCAATCTCCACCTGACCCAGCATTCTCCACCTGACCCAGCATTCTCCACCTGACCCAGCATTCTCCACCTGACCCAGCATTCTCCACCTGACCCAGCATTCTCCACATGACCCAGCATTCTCCACCTGACCCAGCATTCTCCACCTGACCCAGCATTCTCCACCTGACCCAGAATTCTCCACCTGACCCAGCATTCTCCACCTGACCCAGCATTCTCCACCTGACCCAGAATTCTCCACCTGAACCAGCATTCTTCACCTAACCCAGCATTCTCCACCTGACCCAGCATTCTCCACCTGACCCAGCATTCTCCACCTGACCCCGCATTCTCCACCTGACCCCGCATTCTCCACCTGACCCAGCATTCTCCACCTGACCCAGCATTCTCCACCTGACCCAGAATTCTTCACCTGACCCAGCATTCTCCACCTGACCCAGAATTCTTCACCTGACCCAGCATTCTTCACCTGACCCAGCATTCTCCACCTGACTCAGCATTCTCCACCTGACCAAGAATTCTTCACCTGACCCAGCATTCTCCACCTCACCCCGCATTCTCCACCTGACCCAGCATTCTCCACCTGACCCAGCATTCTCCACCTGACCCAGCATTCTCCACCTGACCCCGCATTCTCCACCTGACCAAGAATTCTCCACCTGACCCAGCATTCTCCACCTGACCCAGCATTCTCCACCTGACCCAGCATTCTTCACCTGACCCAGCATTCTCCACCTGACCCAGCATTCTCCACCTGATCCAGCATTCTCCACCTGACTCAGCATTCTCCACCTGACCCAGAATTCTCCACCTGACCCAGCATTCTCCACCTGACCCAGAATTCTCCACCTGACCCAGCATTCTCCACCTGACCCAGCATTCTCCACCTGACCCAGCATTCTTCACCTGACCCATAATTCTCCACCTGACCAAGAATTCTCCACCTGACCCAGCATTCTCCACCTGACCCAGCATTCTCCACCTGACCCAGCATTCTCCACCTGACCAGAATTCTCCACCTGACCCAGCATTCTCCACCTGACCCAGCATTGTCCACCTGACCCAGCATTCTCCACCTGACCCAGCATTCTCCACCTGACCCAGCATTCTCCACCTGACTCAGCATTCTCCACCTGACCCAGCATTCTCCACCTGACCCAGCATTCTCCACCTGACCCAGCTTTCTCCACCTGACCCAACATTCTCCACCTGACCCAGCATTCTCCACCTGACCAAGCATTCTCCACCTGACCCAGCATTCTCCACCTGACCCAGCATTCTCCACCTGACCCAGCATTCTCCACCTGACCAGAATTCTCCACCTGACCCAGCATTCTCCACCTGACCCAGCATTCTCCACCTGACCCAGCTTTCTCCACCTGACCCAACATTCTCCACCTGACCCAGAATTCTCCACCTGACCCAGCATTCTCCACCTGACCCAGCATTCTCCACCTGACCCAGCATTCTCCACCTGACCCAGCATTCTCCACCTGACCCAGCATTCTCCACCTGATCCAGCATTCTCCACCTGACCCAGCATTCTCCACCTGACCCAGCATTCTCCACCTGACCCAGCATTCTCCACCTGACCCAGCATTCTCCACCTGACCCAGCATTCTGCCCCTGACCCAGCATTCTCCACCTGACCCAGCATTCTCCACCTGACGTAGCATTCTCATCCTATAAATGCTCACGTATGTTTCATCCAGGTAGATCTGTTTGTGACCTGATAAGGCCCACTGTGTGGGCGAAACGTTGTCAATAAAGGATCACATTATATTGCTTAAGTGTATATATTTCCATATTTATACACTATGGGGAGGTTAGCATGAGCCCCACTGTGACCACAGATATTAGTGGGGCCCCACTGTGACCACAGATATTAGTGGGGCCCCACTGTGACCACAGATATTAGTGGGGCCCCACTGTGACCACAGATATTAGTGGGGCCCCGCTGTGACCACATATATTAGTGGGGCCCCACTGTGACCACAGATATTAGTGGGGCCCCATGCTAACCTACCTATGGTGTATAAATATACCTAGTTGAATGGATGTTATTATAGGCAGCTGACGCAGTGTCTGATGCACTGGCCTACAGTTTTGCGACTCACTTGTCATGGCCATGGGAGAAAATCAACTTTAATTTAAGGAAGGAAAAGATAGTTCTATGTCATAAAATTTACTTAACCTTCTCAAAAATTATATATTTTATCCAGAGAAGGTGAAGATTGAGAACCTTCTGCAGTTTATTGCTGCCGATCCTACGCGATGAGCGTCTCTTCACGACTATTATGATTATTATCCTGGTGAACAAACACAGTGTGACGGATTTTATATATATATATATATATACATATTATATATATATATATATATATATATATATATATATATATATTATATATATATATATATATATATATATTATATATATATTATAGGAAGGCCTCGCTTTACAGCGTTTCAATTTATAGCGTGTCGTTAGTGCAGCAGTTTTCAGCTATATACATTCTCCCTTTATTCAGGCTTACTAGAAGCTAATGACGAAAGTATTTTAAGGTAAGTAATGTGTGTACTATTAATACATTTTTGAGGCCTAACTCTATTGTTCACAATATATGATAGTGTAAGTGAGAAAAAGCTATGTTTCACTTTACAGCAGTATCTCAGAAGGTAAGCTGCTGTACAAGCGAGGCCAGCCTGTATGGGGTTGAGCAAGCTACGTAGTCCATCTTTGACAGTTATCAACACTTTCCTAATATTTTAAAAAAATATGTTGCGTGTATATTTTTGGCATTAATATTTTATATCACTTGCAAGACTGATTCCTTTATAAAGACGATCAGAATCATGGAGAAATGCTCAATAACTCCGTACTTACCTTCTCTTCCAATGATTCCCATTCCTAGAACGCCCACTGTCAGATCCTGAAGGCTGCGATATTTCATTACTGCAGCTTTATTCCATTCACTTTTCAGCTGAACAAAAAATGAAAAACAGGCAAGTGTCACAAAAAAAAAATAATGTTTTTATAACATTGTTTTGAATATAACAAAATTAAAATTCAACACTCTAAAAGTTCAAGAAGACTGAGGAATCTTATAAGCCTTATATTATCACCTAAATACTTCCAGTATGACAGCAAGTGTAGTACACAATAATACATACTTCTAGCAGGACAACAGTTCTCATACACAATAATACTTCCAGCAGGACAGGAGTTCTAATACACAATAATACATACTTCTAGCAGCACAACAGTTCTCATACACAATAATACTTCCAGCAGGACAACAGTTCTCATACACAATAATACTTCCAGCAGGACAGGAGTTCTAATACACAATAATACATACTTCTAGCAGCACAACAGTTCTCATACACAATAATACTTCCAGCAGGACAACAGTTCTCATACACAATAATACTTCCAGCAGGACAGGAGTTCTAATACACAATAATACATACTTCTAGCAGCACAACAGTTCTCATACACAATAATACTTCCAGCAGGACAGGAGTTCTAATACACAACAATACTTCCAGCAGGACAGGAGTTCTAATACACAATAATACTTCCAGCAGGACAGGAGTTCTAATACACAATAATACATACTTCTAGCAGGACAACAGTTCTCATACACAATAATACTTCCAGCAGGACAGGAGTTCTAATACACAATAATACATACTTCTAGCAGGACAACAGTTCATCACAATACTTCGCAGACAGAGTTCTAATAACAAAATACACTTCTAGCAGACACAGTTCTCATAAATATACTTCCAGAGACAGGGGTTCTAATACACAATAATACATACTTCTAGCAGGACAACAGTTCTCATACACAATAATACTTCCAGCAGGACAGGAGTTCTAATACACAATAATACATACTTCTAGCAGGACAACAGTTCTCATTCACAATAATACTTCCAGCAGAACAGGGGTTCTAATACACAATAATACATACTTCTAGCAGGACAACAGTTCTCATACACAATAATACTTCCAGCAGGACAGTCCGCTGAGGTCAGTGGTCAAGTGTGGTCATACCTGTTGTAAGCTGTCTGGGATACAGCGCGGGGTGTTACCAAGCACCATGGCTTGTTGTACTGTTTTAGAATCTCACGTTAAAGTGTTGAAGAAGGATGTTCTACTTCTTCAGGAGGAAAATGAGAGGCTGAAACTTCTTCTAGATGGGTTTGGGAGTGAGTGTGAGATGGATGTAGCTGGTAAGAAGTGATTTGGATTTAAGTGGCAAGTGGTTTACAATTCAGCAAGAAGGATGATAAGGAAGTTTAATAGAGAAGATGTGAAGGTAGGAAATCGATTCTCTGTTTTGCAGGACGACTGTACTTCATTGATTAGTGAGTTTAAAGGTACCACTGACTCTCCTGCTTATCAAGGAAAGAATATTCTAATTGTGGGAGATTCTCAGGTAAGATATATGGACCATGCTTTCTGTAACAGAGATAGACAGGTCAGACGGAGGGCGTGCCTTCCTGGAGCTGGAATTGGTGACATACTCAGCAGCTTGGAAAATATTATGTCAGGTAATGGGAACAAGCCCATTATCTGCCTTAGTGCTGGTGGAAATGACATCGAAGAGGGCAGGAGACAGGAGCTGCTGGATAAGTACAGGTCAGCCATAGATGTAGTCAGGTCTAATGGAGGGATCCCAATCATATGCAGCATCTTGCCTAGAAGGGAAATGGACAATAAATGGATGTCTATGAATGGTTCAGAGAACTGACATGTTGATAAATTAGACACATGTGCAACTCTTGGGTATCTTTATTGAGGAAACGTTTCGCCACACAGTGGCTTCATCAGTCCATACAAAGGAGAATCGTGAAGAGCAGGAGGAGAATGAGGTAATCAGTCCCTCAACCTTGAGTCGATGTGGTTAGTCCATCAGTCTTGAATAGAATACAGCATATGAGCTGAGAAGTGGCTTATATACCGTACGCAGGAGAGGTGCAGCAGTCGTAGGTGGTGCCACATTCGCTCAATGTGGAAGTAGGTCGTGCCCAAGGGTTAGGCAAGCGAAGAATTCCCAAGTATTAAGATCCCAAGAAGTTGCAGTGTCTGACAGGAATGTAGATGAATGGTTCAGAGAACTGACTTGTTGATAAATTAGACACATTAGACATTGAGGAAGCGTTTCGCCACTGTGTGGCAGAACGTTTCCTCAATAAAGATACCCAAGAGTTGCACATGTGTCTAATTTATCAATGGATGTCTAGAGCAACTGGTTTAAATTGCTGGCTAGACAGGCACTGCAAGGAACTTGCAATCCTATTCAATGATAACCGGGACTTATTCTATGGTAAACGTGATATGTATGCATGGGATGGGGATCATCTCTCTGGGCTGGAGTGGTTACATTAACCAGTTCGATTGAGGGGGTTATTGGTGACATGTCTAAGACTTTAAACTTATAGATTATAGAGGTATGGGTGTTTGTGGGAAACAATCAGGCTGCAGTGCTAGGGTTGAAAACAAGAGATATTACCAGGATACCTCTGGGATATCTTTAAAAAACAATATTCAAAATAATATTGCTAGTAAAGAAAAAGCAACTGATCAACAGACAGAGATTGTAAATGGCAACGAGTGACTAGCTCCATTAAGATTTACTATACAAATAGTAGGAGTCTAAGAAATAAGATAGGTGAGCTAAGATTACTTGCAAGTGCAGGTAATATAGATATTATTGGTATAACAGAGACCTGGTTCAACCTGAAAGATAAAGAAATACCTTCTGAATGCAACATACAGGGTTATAAGAACATAAGAAAGAAGGAACACTGCAACAGGCCTACTGACCCATGCGAAGCAGATCCATGTCCCCCCCAGATTAGCCCAATGACCCCCCCCACTTTGATTAGCCCACTGACCCCCCCGGATTAGCCCAATGACCAACCCAGTCTGGTCAACTCCACTCAAGGATGGAGCACGGCACCAGACCCAGCAGCACAAGCTAGTCAGGTCCAACTCACACCCACCCACACCCACTCAAGTATTTATCTAACTTATTTTTAAAACTACACAACGTTTTAGCCTCAATAACTGTACTCGAGAGTTTGTTCCACTCATCCACAACTCTATTACCAAACCAGTGCTTTCCTATATCCTTCCTGAATCTGAATTTTTCCAACTTGAAACCATTGCTGCGAGTCCTGTCTTGGCTGAAAATTTTCTGCACGCTATTTACATCCCCTTTATTTATTCCTGTTTTCCATTTATACACCTCGATCATATCCCCCCTAATTCTATGCCTTTCGAGAGAGTGCAGATTCAGGGCCCTCACATGGAAGATTTCTGATACATAGGATCATCTTTGTCATCCTCCTCTGTACGTTTTCCAGAGCATTTATATCCATTCTGTAATACGGTGACCAGAACTGAGCAGCATAGTCTAAATGAGGCCTAACCAAGGATATATAGAGTTGAAGAACAACCTGAGGACTTCTATTATTTATACTTCTAGATATGAAGCCAAGAATTCTGTTAGCTTTATTGCGAACACTAATGCACTGTTGTCTTGGTTTTAGGTTACTCCTAACCAGAACTCCTAAATCTTTTTCACAATCAGTAGTATTAAGATCTACATTGTTTAGTTTATATGTGGCATGGTTATTTAACTGTCCAACATTTAGAACTTTGCATTTGTCAATATTAAACTGCATCTGCCACTTCTCCGACCATTGCATCAGTCTATGCAAATCATCCTGGAGTGCTCTAGTGTCCTCATTAGAATGAATTGGATGGCCTATTTTGGTGTCATCAGCAAATTTGCTTATGTTGCTATTTATTCCCTCATCTATGTTGTTTATGTAAATTGTGAACAACAACGGGCCCAACACTGACCCCTGAGGAACACCGCTTGTGACGTGCTCCCATTCTGATTTCTTCCCATTTATGCACACTCTCTGCTGTCTATTTGTCAGCCATGCCTCTACCCAGGAAAAAATTTCTCCTCCTATTCCGTGTGCCTTAATTTCCTCAATAGCCTCTGGTGTGGAACTCTATCGAAAGCCTTACTGAAGTCCATATGCACAATATCATATTCATTACCATGATCTACCTCCTCAAACACCTTAGTGAAAAAAAGTTAGTAAATTCGTAAGACAGGAACGCCCCTTTGTAAAACCGTGTTGAGATTCGTTAACCAATCTGTGCCTGTTAAGATGGCTACTAATTGCTCCTGCAATTATTGATTCCATAAATTTTCCCACTGTGGAGGTAAGGCTTATTGGTCTATAGTTCGAAGCCAAGGACCTGTCACCTGCCTTGTAAATAGGTATTACATTTGCCTTTTTCCACTTATCAGGCACTATGCCAGTTTGTAGTGATATGTTGAAAAGATTAGCCAAAGGTATGCTAAGTTCCTCTTTACATTCCTTTAACACCCTTGCAAACAGTTCATCAGGACCTGGGGATTTGTTAGGTTTTAGTTTCTCTATTTGTCTGAGGACCATGTCACTAGTTACCGCAATCGTACATAGTTTATTATCGTCCTGATCTACATAATCTATTATTTCAGGAATATCGCTAGTATTTTCCTGGGTGAAACTGAGAGGAAGTAGGTATTGAGAATTTCTCACATATCCTTATCGCTGTCAGTGATCTGACCAGAGTTACTCTTAAGTGGGCCAATCTTGTCCCTAATCTTACTTCTGTATCCCTGAAAGAACCCTTTTGGGTTAGTCTTTGAATCCCTTGCGACCTTAGCCTCATAATCTCTTTTTGCTTTTCTTATTCCTTTCTTTATTTCTCTCTTTAATTGAATATATTGATTTCTTAACTGCCCATCCCCTATTCCACACTGGTATGGTTAACAGGAAGGGTGGTGGAGTGGCGATGTATGTCACAGATAATTTTAACTGTTGTGTTAGACAAGATATAAGACTAGAAACATCGGACACAGAATCTGTTTGGCTACAGTTTCTCGAGGGTCGTGAAAAGTTA